GACATGTTTCTACAGATTTGGTCCTCTTAACATTCTCAAAGGCAGATGCCACTCCTAGATAAGTGACTATCCTTTTACTTTGCCTAGGTCACCTTGGAAAAAGTCGTCTGAGGCCAGCAGAATTGAGACCTTGATTTATGGAGGGGCTCTTGGTGCCAATGGGCCCATGTGCCCCACAGTCGCATCATTCCTGGGCTTCATGGGGATTTGGGGAGCTCAGAGTTATGGAGGAATAAATTCCTGGGCAGCTCTACCTCCGCCCTGAACTTTGGGATTCCAGAAAGGCACAGCTACCAAAGGACTTAGAGGTTTTCATGGCCTGCCACTGACATATCTTCCCAAGGTGTCCTCATGATAAGACCCAAGGTTTTTTGGTTTGTTTCCATTTGTCTAGCTAGTGAAGTATGCTCTTCACTAGTCTGCTACATACTTTAAGTTTATGCTGAACCTCATCACTTACAAACGTATTCATATAAACAGTCTCCTTTAGTCCTTGTGACCACCGTTTTGAGTTGGAATAACGGTCCCCATTCTACAGACTTTCTTAGTCTTTGTATAATAGAAAGATGAGCAATCTTGGGTGGAAATCTTGTTTCAGAAGCTCTTTCTTCCCTAAAGGCTGGGAATCAAGTCTAGAATGAAAAATTAAAACTAAAAATAATTATATCAACTGTTATTTGCATAATCAATGTTTCTAGTGTCCTATGATTTAAGGCAAGCTGGCTGGATACTCTGCAGCCAGAGGGCTAAGGAGGATTGGATTTAGGGGGCAATATCAGATGATTTTATTGCTTGGGAGATTTATTTGCCTCTGACAAAAACCCACCTCACCCCAGTTAATCCATCTGGTGGAACTCAGGGGCCTTTTCATCCAAAATGCAGGATTTCATTCGCTTTATGACCAGTGGGCTGTCGCTCTGTTCCATGTCTCTGGCTGATACTCTCGCTTTGTCCAGCTGTCTCCCAAGCATCTCCATCTCAGTGGCCTCTATAAAACTCAACCTGCCCCTAATTGTACATGTCGCCCGAGGAGTCCACAGCTCCCCTCTTATTGGCACTCCCATCTACCCAATCTTTAAGCCAGAAATCTAGTGTGGTCCTTGACTTTTCCCCTGTCACATCCAGTCAACCACCAACTTGCAGCATAGCCTCTCAGGCTTCCAGGACTGGCCCACCCACTGGCCCTTCCACTCTCATCTCCCCTGTGATAAAAACTGCTCTGTCCCCTTCCTTGTTCCTCACCTCCAGGTCTTGGATCTGGAGTACTCTTCCCTCTTTTTCCACATGGCCAATTCCTCATCATTTAGGATTCAGTTCCAACTTACTCTTTATGTAGGAAATCACCCCTTCACCACCCCCATTAAAACATCCTTTGTATCTGCCATCAGTGAACATAACACCTGGTTTAACAATTGCCCATTTATACGTCTGTCTCCCCAGACCGTGGGCATTTTGAGGGCATGGCCCATTCACTTTATTTTCTTCATAGAACTTATTGCTATCTGCAAGTTTGTTTTTAATTCTTTATAAATATACTTTTTGTCTGAACCTCCCACAGCAGAGGTCAAGAATTATGTCTGTCTTGTTCACTGTCATGTCTCCAGAGCCTGACACAGTGACTGTCACACAGCCGGTAACCAATAAATATTCAATGGACGAACAAATTCACCTTTGTTTCCAAAGATAGCTTGGGATCTAGCAGATAGTGAATATGCAGTCAATGTTGGTTGGTTGAATGAAGGAATAAATACAAACAGAGGATGAGCTGTCTCTGTTCACTGTAGAAGGTTAAAGGAGAGACTGGGGGCGGGGGTGAGTGGTAGGGGAGGAGGGAGCCCAGTGGAGTTCAGGCAGCTTTACTATCTGGGCCAGGACCAGAGCAAGGAGAGAGAACAGAATTTAAGAGGGTCAAAAAACTCATTCATTAAATAATATTTT